TTTCCTTTCTTCTCGTACTTTATATTTCTTTTGACTGCATTCACTTATCTTCATCCTTCACCTCACTACCTTTTTACTTGATGTGCTGATATGAGGTGTGGCAACTCGGACCGTTATGCAGTAATGCCTGGTCCTATGTTGATAATGATGATGATGATGATGATGATATGGCTAATTAATGTACAGTGGGAATCAAGTGCTCACCCCTCAAGCGAGTAAATTAACCAGATGATCAAGAAACAACAACACAAGAATCAATCAGAAAGATAAAGGCAACCAATTAGAATAAAGTTTACAAGTACGAAAACGGATAGGAAGGTAGAATTATAACTCATAAACAAACGTAGATGAGTTGCCAATATGGTAAGTGTTAGTGGACAAGCACAAAAAGTCTGTTGATGCTGCTAGTGGTTAACACAAATAAAATATGTATAGCACATTCAACATCACCTTTCAAGCAGACATAGCTCCCTTAACTCTCAGGACCTGTATTGCATCCAACCCATAACAATCCAGAAAAATGGTGCAGTTAACTCTTGCCACAACTGCTGAGGTTGATCACTTATACTCCTTCTAATAGACCTAACTTCTTTATGTCGCATTGTCGCCAACATTTATGTCGAATTCATATGATCTTTCAATTCATGATAATTTTATCAGTTGGTGAATGACAACGATCTCTTCAAAATTTCTGTGAGATCCTCTGCTTAATCACAAATGATATGATGACAAACTTGACGAAAGAAACCACAAAATGTGGCTACAATATGAAATATGATTCCACGTTTTCCAGATTTATGGAACTGAAAAATCCAACGAGATATCGTGATCCGTGAATCTGATGTTCCGTTAACAGAGATGGCTGGTGGACGTGATTATTTTTCTCAAACATTTCAATGTACACAGTGTATTCATGACTGATATACAAGTCATCATGCGACCTCATATCAATCTGAAGTAGATTCTCAGCAGAAGGCGTATTACCTGACAATCTATGTGAATCATGTCACCTGGGTGCAATTATACCTGACTAAGCTCTTCGATCGTTGGCATCCTTTTAATCAATTGCGGTATCGTACTATGTTAGGTGGTTGCATTTATATATGGACCTGCATAGTCCGGAATCGAACCTTGAACTTTCAGGTCTCACGGCGAACGCCCTAGCCATCCAATCGCTCGGTCGGAATTGAGCGGTCTACATTTTCCTACTCCTATCAATTCGCGAAATAGTGCAACTATTTTCCAGGGTCTTCAGTTGGTATCCACTTCCCTTCCGACTGGTTGACCCCACAGGTCAAGGCTTCTCATTAGAACTTCGGGATATCCATCTAGAAATATGTAATTAACATGCACTACACAGTGATGTAGTTTTATCATTATACGGATTTTATTTCAAAGCTTAAAACAATTAGTTCCCTTAACAAAACAATAAGAAGACGTAGACTGTCTGAACCGTGTAATGTATTTGCGCAACACATTTCGAACTATCTGATCACACACGTACTTGTCATAGGTATTTATATAAAAACTCATGAAGATAAGGGGTGAGAAAATAAAAAGGGGTCAGGTAGGAAGGCTGACTTAAAGGCCGAATAACAATGAAAATCAATAGAGTGAAAAAATAATAGTACATCGAACTTGGTTTTCATAGTTGAATTTACCAAGAAAGATATAATATGACAACATATTGTTTATGAACACCCAAAGGTGGTTTAAACTTTCTAATAACTAAGGCCTTAACAAATTTAAGGATCCGTCCCGAACACGTTTTGTAAATAGGTGCAAAGAAAGTAGCCACATCAATCCTGTAACCTATCTCAACTATATGTTTGGCGATCGAAGAACTTGGACGTCCGCTACCAACGTTTATGGGTTCAGGTGATTTAATTTGCCTCTGAAGCCACTTTCGAATATGTTCCGAGGCCCTTACTTGTATGGACCTATGAGTCCTCCCTATGCATGGCACCACACGAGTACATTTGAATTGGTAGATAAAATGAGATGTGACATCGTCGTTTACATACTATGGGGGTTTGGGGGAATATACAGGCTTAGTGGTTTACTATTGATTGAACCCCATCTGCATAGTAAGTCCTTTTAACAGCAGCGTTAAGTCTCTGCTTAAGGATTGCACTGTGATGGTCACCTTTGTACGGAAGACTGATAAAGACATCCTTCTTTGGGACCAACTAAAGATCTGGTTCTGGCGCTCTGATTGTTTTGTGTTGTTTTGATGGATAGTTATTTTCCAACGATATTATCAGTCAGTGTTCCTCTTTCATCTTCTAAAGTATCCTCTGTACATATTCATTGAATTCTACTGAATAAGCATCTAACTAACTCTCGCTTATACTGAACTGGACAAAAGCTACGATAGTTCAGATATTGCCGTGTCTATGTAGGTTTTCTGTAGATAGGTCGTTTCATGGATTCATCCCGCCGCCAACTAATTAATATGTCAAAGAAGGGCAAGCAGTCATCTTCCTCTTCTATGCATGTTAAGGAAATGCTGTTTTGCACTTCACTCAATCAGTTTAGAATTGAAGTAGACTGACTTGAGTTTTCACAAATAATCAGGATATTGTCAACATGTCTTCGATACAGATGGGCTTGGTCTTTTAGATTCTCGGCTAGTTTTTCCAGGTTTATGTCAGCTAGGAGGGGACCTAAATGACTTCCCATAGCAACTCCATCAACCTGGAGAAAATGTTCGCCCTCAAATGTGAACTTAAGATTACTTGTACATGAGAGTATACCCCTCTTTTCACAACTCACGGTTGTCTGTTGCATGACCCAGTCGAGTCGAGTTTACTCAACCACAATCAGGAAGATAATCGTTGATAGTAGTTGGGAATCTTGTCTTACTGCCGTCCCCTATCCTCACTTCAAAGGCATCACTGAGTTTTCTCTTGTGAATCACTTGGCATGTGGTATCCCCATATAGAATATAGCTGTTGAATGACATTGATAAAGGTTCGCTGCACTAAAACCGTAGTGTTGAAGCAGCTGCCTGCCAAACTACTTCTCGATCGACGCTATCGAAGAATTTTTTCAAAGTTGGTGAAGTGGAGATAGAGAGTTGACTTCCATTCTATGCTCTGTTCTATGATGATACGTCGCGTTGTTCAGTGAATGAATTCCTACAAAACTCCCATATTGTAAGTAATCAATGTTCCGTTTCTCCTGTAAGGTCAAAAGTCATATATTTATCCACAGGTTAGTTATCCACCGGGTTTTTTTTCCTCATGAAGACACATTTAAATCTCTCAGTCAAAACGTACCCTCTTCTCTTTTTTTTACGCACCAGTTCTGAGTGCTGACATTGTTAGTAGCTGGGTGTTTTGAGTACTGGTGATGAAGGTGATGAAGATACCCAACAACAAGAAGCACTAATCACCGTGAACGGGAGAAATCTGAAGGAAGTAGTCTGTTTCACCTACATACCTAGGCAGGGCAGCATTGTTTCAACCACAGGCGGCACAGGCACAAATGACGATGTCATACCAGCCAGGTTTGGAAAGACATCAAGACAGGCCTTCATACATTAATCTGAAATCAATCAGTGTGGAGATCTACTGTACTCCACTCGACTGCACTCAGCACAAAGCGTGAACAAGATGTGGATTTTCAACACTAATATCAGTCAAGTCAGTCAGTGTTTCTATGTGATGGTTGAGAGAGGTGGCGCGTTACGGAGAGCATTTCCAACAAATTGCAGACATACATCACATAAACAGCTGTCACCTACACTCACTCGATACTGACACTGAAGATCGGATGGTCAGAATAATAAGAATAGGCAACAAGGCGATCTGGGTGGCTGGCAACGAACCAACCAACAACCCATCGCACAAGAAATATGCAGTAGAATAAAGTGGAGATGGATTGGATTGGATTGGACACAGACTGAGAAGACGTATTGGGGACATCACGCGCCAGGCCAGGCCATTCCATGCCATGCCGTTGAGTGGAGCTTGAGTGAGAAACGACGAGTTGGGCATCCGAGGGTGGGATGGAGGAGATGGTGTGAGTAAGAAATGAAAGGTTCTGGGGAGTGGTGGAGTCAGGTTGAGTAGACTGTAGAGAAGAGAGTGAGACGGAGACGTGCTACTGAAGTGCTGTGTCCCACTAGGAACCCAAGAGACAAATGATAATAATAACAGAAGTTTAACGTAGCTCCTTATTGCAGCGACATTATATTAAATGAGATGTATTTTCGAAACGTTTACTAATATTTCTGGCTCAAGTGGATGATCTTGGTTGTATCGTGTTCTCTAAATTGAACGGCTGAATCGTGAAGCATTCATTGTCTTTCTAAACAACGTCACCAGCACTAACTTCTTAATGAAGTGACCTAGCCTTCAGGATTTCTCCATGAATTAATAATTTGCTTGCTCTGACGAACTGGTTTGTGATTAGTTATTTCATTTGCTTGTTATGTCATCGACTGCATAGATTTTCTTGTTGACTATTTCTGTGCCTGACTATGAACATGCACATGAATTCAACTTCGGAACTGTAGAGATCTTGGAAAGAGAGAACACAAATAATATGGCAGAATTCCTAGAAGCTTTATGTTCGAGTCAGTCAGTGGTTAATGAATGTACAGACACAAACCGAATTTATCAACCAATCAGAAACATGATAAACAACAAAACGGTCAGAGGTCAGGCAGAGAAATAGCCAACAAAAAAATCTGTGTAATCATTGACACAGTAGTCAAGGCAAACAACCAATCACAAACCAGTTCATCAGAACAAGCTACTGAATAACTCATAAAGATACTGACAGCTCACTTCATAGTGAAGTTAGTCCCGATGATATTGTCTAGAAAGATAATGAATGCTTCACAGTTAAATCACCCATCTCAGAAAATACAAACACAATCAAGATATATATTTTCATCGAACTGTATTTTCTAATCATAATAGTGTATGAATTCAGTCGTAAGCCTTTTCTGTTCGTATCATATTCATCTATTATTTATCCTGTTTCCCTAGGTATGGAAAACGAAGGAGTGAATTGTTGATTTCTTCACCAATCAATGTTAAATGTTCCAATCATTTCTTTGTAAGCATTCAAAATAAGAATATACTGTACAAAACTAGCTCTTGAACGACGATGTTATGCTGATGAGAATACACCTTGAAGTATGTGCAATGAACTGTGTTTTCCTTTAGTGACTTATACTCTATAGTTCCCTGTAATCTTAATGTTCCGATTCCTACTAGCCTTGGATATTCTATTATTTTTGCTATATCATATGTAAAACTACTGTGCATTCCTGCATTGATAGCTATTATCTCAAGGCTGAAGCTGATTGTTTATCTTACACAGTATTACTTTTAGGTCTGATTTGAAGAGCCTCTCACCTCTCTTGATGAAGGACCTTGAAATACTATATAATGTAAATAGTATCCGTGTGTACAGATATCCTGTAGAATTCTTTGATGATATCCTTCACCTTTTTATAATCTGATTATCCGTAGAGAAAATACATTTCTAGTATTGTTTTCCTAATGTTTTACGCCTAGTATACGTCTTATACCAAGCTATGGCTTACGTCAACGTGGAATACTAGGGATTAGATTTGAAGCAGGCTTAAGATGGCAAGATCAAGACGTAACACTAGTCGATCATGTTCCTGACCATTATTAAACTGAGCTGTGTAGGAGGGTGTAGACCGTCTAGCGATTCGTCGTAATAATAGGAATCCACAGTTAAGCATTTTTGGTGACATGATGGAAAATCCGTCACAGTGACACACATTCATTCTTCGACGTCTTCTAAAAGTGGGACATTTTCATCAACCTTCATTTTTGTAATTTTTTCTCCACTCATACATTTTTTTCCCATTTGTTCTTTGCTTGATACTATGAAGTGTGGTAACTAGTGCCACTCTAGTTCTATGCAAAATTCTATGTTACTTCTCTCTATCTGCCTGTATACTTACTATATTAAATGGTTAGAAGGAATCAAAAGAAACCGTAGGACTTACATGCCATTCATGTCGTCTAATATGGTAAGCGTATATGCGACCTTGAAGAAACTGATGTTAGTTGGAGGGTTCGAACCCACATCTCTATGTTTCTCAGCCTGAAACATTACTTGGGTTTCATGTGAGCCTACTCGATAATTGTCGATTTTATATCGTCTAGTTGTCAGTACTGAATGGTTTCTGTCGATTGGGTTTTTGGTGTTCCTGCTAGGCTAAGTAACTTGACATAATAATGTATGACGTGTTACTCAAGTAGTGACAGTGAAAGGAATCATGGCGTGGAATTGTATTGTTTTCTGGGATGTCTGTGTAACATGCAGCCCAATTACTGTCTAGATTTGGCCAAGATACTACTGTGTTACCCAGGCTAAAGTAGATTGAGCATGTCTCGTCCTGAAAAACAAAGCTTAGTATCACAATCTTCAGCCTCATTCAACAGCTATTTGACGACGCTACATGCCAATTCATTCACAAGGGAAAACTCAGTAATGCCTTTGAAGTGAAGACAGGGGACAGGAGTAAGACAAGGTTGCCACCTACTATCGCCGATGATCTTCCTGATTGTAGTCGACTGGACTGGATCTTGCTCATGCAACAAACCTTGAGGAGCGAGAACAAGTTAGCAGAAGAGGCGAGGCAGCGAAAGAAGACGGGGTTTCTTCAGGTCGACATAAAGAAGACAGGTGATGAAGATACCCAACAACAAGAAGCACTAATCACCGTGAACGGGAGAAATCTGAAGGAAGTAGTCTGTTTCACCTACATACCTAGGCAGGGCAGCATTGTTTCAACCACAGGCGGCACAGGCACAAATGACGATGTCATACCAGCCAGGTTTGGAAAGACATCAAGACAGGCCTTCATACATTAATCTGAAATCAATCAGTGTGGAGATCTACTGTACTCCACTCGACTGCACTCAGCACAAAGCGTGAACAAGATGTGGATTTTCAACACTAATATCAGTCAAGTCAGTCAGTGTTTCTATGTGATGGTTGAGAGAGGTGGCGCGTTACGGAGAGCATTTCCAACAAATTGCAGACATACATCACATAAACAGCTGTCACCTACACTCACTCGATACTGACACTGAAGATCGGATGGTCAGAATAATAAGAATAGGCAACAAGGCGATCTGGGTGGCTGGCAACGAACCAACCAACAACCCATCGCACAAGAAATATGCAGTAGAATAAAGTGGAGATGGATTGGATTGGATTGGACACAGACTGAGAAGACGTATTGGGGACATCACGCGCCAGGCCATTCCATGCCATGCCGTTGAGTGGAGCTTGAGTGAGAAACGACGAGTTGGGCATCCGAGGGTGGGATGGAGGAGATGGTGTGAGTAAGAAATGAAAGGTTCTGGGGAGTGGTGGAGTCAGGTTGAGTAGACTGTAGAGAAGAGAGTGAGACGGAGACGTGCTACTGAAGTGCTGTGTCCCACTAGGAACCCAATGGACTTATAATAATCACAATCTTCTTATCACTCTTTTTCATTTCATCTTCTGCGGTCGAAAAAACGCTTTGCCGCCTCTTTCGACACATCATTTGTACATACTGGTATGTGACAAACCGATAAATCAGTGTAGGATCTTGTGTGATAGCTCACCAGTCCGATTTGCCACGCTTCACAGTAGCATGAAAAGAACAGGTGGATAAAAAAGGACAGGTAGTAATTTAGTTGCGCTGTTCTGACAGGTTTTGAGCGATGTCATTGAGAACCCCTACTTACCTCACCAGTAGCTATTACCTTGATGTCGTGAACATACTTTCTCGTTGCAATGACCCAATGAGCTATGCTTTCTCTAAGAATATTCTTTTAGGTCCCACCAGTCTAGAAATGTCTGTTGGATAATGGTAAGACTAAAAGCAGTTACCATCCTAGTGTAGATGGCTTACGCTGTGGTGAAGGTTCGAGGGTGAATTCGTACTGCAGATTGTCGATGTAAAACAGAAGTAAGATGTTTTTCGGTGATGACCAACATTTCACGCTTATGCTACCTTCTCCATTGTAAACAGAGGTAAGAAATCGTCGGCCCTAAAATAAACACATTCCTTTCTGTCATGAGGTCTCCATTGACGGTGGTATAGGTTTTTTAGTCTGATAGCAACACAATGAATCCCAAACTGAAATCTCTCCTAAAAGGCATGTATGACTAACTTTAAGATGTCATTTGTGCTCTGCGGCTACGCGCTCGTATTGCTAGTCCAGTTTCTTTCCTAAGTACTCCAATAAGGCAAGGCATCAACCTCCATGCTGTGGACAGCCGGAAACACCGACCGATTTCACATTTTCATTAGGGATAGGAATAGTTGAAATATGCCTGCATCAAAATCAGTTATTTTCCCATTCGATACAAAAGATATTCGATATGAAAAATGCTTAAGTGTCTTACTAGTCCTATGGATAGAAAACTGACACCGGCTTAGCTGGAAGCTTTTTTTAGAGATCTAGAATTTTTAGTATAATCTCTAATTAGGAGAAGACATATAAACGTGAACAATATTGTTTACAATTAGCTCTCATCAGCCTTTACGTTAATATACATAATTTTTCTCATATATGAAACATTAAGCCAATCATGATTGATTCTTTAGCCTGTGGAAACAAGGAAATGAAACACGCCAGTAGTAGATACCTAGATTATTATTATTATTATACTGCGTGATGATTGGAGGTGAAATGAAATTTCGGACCGTGGCTGGATTCGAACCAGTGACCACCGGGTCTCCAACCCTTTCTTTATCAACTGAGCTACGAGGTCCAACTGCTGGTTGACCAGAAATTTCTATTTCACTTCAATCACCACAGGTTTCGCCCGACTACTATGTTAATTCGTGACCCATTACTACCTCTTGATCACATCCACGTGTATTGCACAATCAGGACTTCTCATCCTATTCACATGGTAGTCGGGCAAAACCCTTGGTGATTGAAGTGGAAAAAAATCTGATCAGCCAGCAGTTGGACGTTGTAGCTTAGTCGATAGACCATCAGGCCGAGAAGCTAATGGTCTCTGGTTCGAATCCGACCGCGGTTCAAATTTTCATTTCACTTACAATTATAACCCAGTATAAATACTAGTCTGCCAAACCATGGATATCTCAGATAGTCAAAATGATGCTCTGGGATTTGTCGTGTTATGTCCTAAATAAGTATAATAAAACAGCTATTGTACATGATTCTTTAAACTTTTCTATCAGTCCAGCTGAAATTGAAAATACATATATAAGGTAACCAGATATTGTCCAGAGTAACCTTAATGATGATGATACATAGAGAGAAGCGGATAAACATGTGAAAATCAATAAAATATAACAAATAAAAAAAATCTACAGAAGGTGAAATAAATAAAAGAATATTGACTTTCTTATCTGGTATCAAGGTATTCTATTTGAATCACATTTCTAAAAAAAATATTTGTCAACTCTTACGTGCATCTATCTGTACAGGCAATAGTATAATTCAAATTTTCCTCCTTTATTCAATATGTTCAATATGCATTGAGAACGTGTATACAATACATAAAATGATAGTGTGACTTGGTTTTTTTCTTTCTTTGTTTCTTCTTTAAACAGCTGTTTCATGTACATATTTTAAACCATAATCTAAGCGTAGCCATGATCTACGATCACTTTTCAGTGTACTTGAACTTCCATGTGGAATTGAATCAGATTGCCATAGTTTAGATAATGACATTGAATTCCAATGTTGATTTGTTATTTGTCTTGTTGACATAATTGAATATGGGGATTTATTTATACTGTTATAATTTATTTGTTGTAAACTTTTAGTTCGTATAATAGGAGATGCATTATACATTTGATATTGTTGTCCACTAAATCTTTTTCGTGATTTATTCATGGATAATATTGAACTTTGTATACTGTAATTTGATAATCTGTCATCTATTGTATGCAGATTTTCTGGTCTTATATATATAGGCTGATCATCTTGAAGACGATTGCTGATTGGTTGTAATTGTTTTCTTTTACTAAAAAGTATGTTACACACATAAAATTTAAACCTTTTTAAATTGAAGATCTAAAAAGTTAAATATGAAGAGGTATTTATGGAAATCATCATCTTGAAATTAACAGAATCCACTATTCATACTGGGTGGTGATTGAAGGTAAGGTGAGAATTCGGACAGCAGCCGAATTTGAACCAGCGATCCACGAGGTTTCCAGCCCGATGCTGTATCAATAGAGCTACGAGGTACGACTGCTGATGGGTTCGAATCACGCCACGGACCAAATTTCAGTTTCGCCTCCGATCAACACCTAGTATGAACACTTTTCTGCCAAATCTCAGGTAGTCAAAATGATAATCAGTATGATGCTCCCCCTATCTAATTGAATTACACTTAGATTAGGTTGAAAAGTCCTAACTGGGCAGCCCGTGTGAGTGCGATCAAACGGTAGTAACGCGTCACGAAATTCATATAACAGTTGGGTAAAACCTACGGTGATTGAAGTGAAATATAGAAATCTCGTAAGCCAGCAGTTGGACCTCGTAGCTAAGTTGGTAGAGCATCCGGTCGCTAGTTCGAATCCGTCCGCGGTCCAAATTTTCATTTCACCTTCAATCATCACCCAGTACGAATACTAGTCTGCGAAACCATGATTGTCTCAGAGAGTCGAAATGAGAATCAACTACATTATCCTATATTAGTTGGATTTCACTAGATCTATGCTTATTTCTGATTGTCTTCGAAATATATTTTTTTCGGAAAGTTATAACCTGTAGTGTCGACCAAGACGGTAATTTGGATTGATGTATGCCAGTAGCAATGTGCTTAGCGCGATTCCTGATGATTCTGGGCGCTCGATCTTGTATGAATTGGTGAGCGTACATACTGCTGAGAAATTCCAAACTAGGAAGAATCAGGTATCCCCAGTTTTTGGTGGTTCACTAGCCATTGGTAACTCATGATAAAAATCTTCTTCAAACTAATCTGTGTTATTTGAAGACATCCAGCCCAGCAACTCACCAGGAAATCTCCTGATGTTTGAAGTGGTGAGCGGCAGGTTCGAGTTTCATTTTGAAAATGATCATCGATTTAGGTAGATCCAACTGTTTATCAAGTCGGACAAGGTGGACTTCTCCATTACCGCTGCTGGTTATCAGCAAACACTTTACAAAATTTAGACAATGGAAACAAGGATTTAAAACAAGCCATTTTCTTAAATTCAAAACAAAACAAACTCGGAAAACACTTGTCAGGCAAGAAAGCACTGCCCAAACGTTTCGTCTTAATTTACGACTCCTCAGCAGATCACATTTTCCTATCGTTTTATGTTAGAATTTTATGTCCCACAGTATGCACACCATTCTTCCCCTCTTTACAATATTTGGTATGACATAGTTATCATTAGTTACTTTCTATTTGCTTTTCTGCTGTCTTGTGAAGTACCATGGTCTGAACTCATAAATCATGAGATTAAATACAAGTGTAGCACTGTATTTCACCCTAAGTTTACCACAAATTATCTAAAGCTGTAAGACCCTAACCACCAGATTCAGATCCAGTTAGACTTGAAGACCATGAATAACTGAAGAGCCTTGAATTAATCTTCGGTTTTTAATTGGTTATTTCACCCAATACCCCTTTGTGACATAATCGATCTTCGAATGGGGCTTTTGTGTTTATTAGCATGAAGTCAAACACTTATCTTGAGTATAGGAGACGTTTGATGTTAGTTATAGTGTTCTGACTGAGTGAAATCATCTCATCGAAATCTATAGAGCAAATACCATGGTCAGTAAAGTTAGAAAGAGAAAGAAGTCGTGAATAAAAGCAATAACTTTGCCATAGTAAAGCTTAAGAAAATGTTAGCGTACCCGAAGCATGATGGATTTTCTTGTTCAGATGTATCATATCTGTACACGAATCACCCAATGCAAGGTAACCGATGTAGCTATCAGTCGCCAAGTACTGGTCGGAGTCTATGGATCAGGATTGTGAGATGTTATCGCTGAGCTAACTGACATAACATACAATTTGTTGTTCGATGCAAAGAGTCAGTCGCTCAACGTGACCTGGTATAACTCAGCCTCTATTATTACTTTTTGTTGATTCCTGTGTTTGGTCTATAATTAATTGCCTATTGTTCCCCTGCCATTGTTTCTTGGTCTCCGGAAAAAAGACTATGCTGTATTGTGTAGGATTTTGAAGGCTGTTAGTGGAGCGAGTGGCACACCACCAACCGTACTGATAAATGCGATTGTCTTGTAGACAGTTGTGGCTAAAAGTATCATATCTGATGATAAGCATCTTCTGCACGTCTCTCCATGTCTGTCGTGTATGAGGACAAGAAGCAAATATATTAAACTCTATGCACACACAACTACATACAACAATTCTATCATACCACGTTATTTAGCTTGTGTATTGTGTGAAGAAGATCGTGTTAGACATAGTGTTATCAATCAGTTTTGTAATGACGAACAGGCATCATGTCCCTGAAGTCATTGAATATTTCAATAATCCTGTTATTCTTTATATTGTTAACGAGGACCACTGTTAATGTATATTTGGAGTATGTTGTACAACGAGTAAATTGATGCAATATAACGCTTGCTGAGAATTTTGGACTGTTAACATAATTATGGTTTGAAATAAAGCATATATATTACTTATTGTTATTATGTTTAAGGAGGTATTCGCCATTATGTCTAGATGCTGATTGAAGTTATTTTCTAGCCGTTTTCAACCTCTTTCTGGAGATACACTGCAACGAGGATTTTTGCGAAGTGATTTTAAGCCGACTGTATCCATTCAAATAGGTATGAGATACTATACACACAAATCACCATCATAAATTACTTTATAGGGAGGGATCTATGCATATGAAATTCCCTTTTACTTGTGTTATAATTCCAATGTCTGTCTTAAGCTACATATTCCTCGAAAATTTCAATGTAATTTATAGGTTTGTGGGGATTTATTTATTTATTTCAGGTTGGTATTCACACGGACTGATATCAGTTGTAGGAACACTGGGAACCTGGGCTCACTGAACAGCTAGTATGTGACTCTTTAGCAGTGCATACCTATAACCCCGCCCTGCTTGGGGTCGAACTTAAGGTTTTCAGGTTCCATGGGAAGCAGTTTTCAACCGACCTCCATCCAGTCCATGATATATATCAATGTATTTATAAACATCTATGAATTTTAATAATTATGTAAGCAGCGAAGTTTTCGTGTTTGACGGAAACCCCATATTGATAGTGACTTACAATATACATTATCATCCTCTTTTTTGTTATTTGGAAGTGCACCTCCTTAACATTTATGACTAGTAGATTGGTGTACCTAAACGCCAGTAAATGATATTAATCCCATTGATACTCAAACTCAGTTCCCATTGCTTGAAACCGCAGTGTGTTATCCAATAGGCTACTGAGTTATGATAGTTACCCCTTGTGGAACGCATATCGTATAGTTTTGGTGTTATTGTTTGCAATTTCCCATTGTTGATTGGATCGAATTGATCTGCCATTGTTGGCATGTGTACCTTGTGATATTGTCAGTAATTTCAGTTTGATGATAATGTTAGACAGTGAGTGGCTAGCAGTGGAATCGAAAGTGCTTGTTTATTTCTATTTGGGACTCGTCAGCGTACGTACCTGCCTTCCAATGGGATGGGATTTTGTTCCCACCGGGACTCGAACCCGGGACGGATCGTTTCAACTGCCAGGGGTTGTCCATCAGGCCACTGAATCACAATAGTGTTTGCTTGTGCAGCGTATAAACCTGTTATTTCTCGTTTTTGATTGTCTTGAACCGAATTGATCAGCCACTGTTGGTATGCATGCTTCTGAGCTACTGCCGGCGGTTTCATCTTAGTATTAACACTGAATAGTTGCTATCAGCGGAATGAACAACTGATAATGACAAGTCATCATATTAAACCATACTTGTTGCATAAGGAGTAGCTATTGTAATTGAGAGTCTTAACGAGAACAACAACAGTGAGTAGTATTTAAATTCAGTTGATAAGTTAGCGATATGGTAAAACACGCCTCCATTATCAGCTGCTACACCGAGGCCTCCATACAGACAGGCAGATGAAGTCGACGTAGAACCCCACACATAGGTGCGTTTGCTCAAGTTCCTCCACTTCACAGTAATATGCAAAGACAGGTGGATAGAATAAGCTTGACATCAAAGCAGACAAAGTAGTATGAGAGAATAAACAATTTGAAGATAAAGGTTAGTACAAATATTCAAGCTTTATTAGATGTCAATGAGTGAATATATCTGCGCCATTTTGACCAGTTTTCAACCATCTCACCATGAGCTTTCAACCACTGATTCTTATCGTTTCGTTGACCCTAATCAGACAATCTAAATGTAACATGGCTCAAACCAACAAAAAGAAACTTCATCGACTTCTTGATCTGGCCATCCTGAACTCTCTCCCAACCTAGTCCAACTTCCTCTAGCTTGACACGTCGAGGTAGGCGGTGTCTCGGTATGCACCTCCATACGAAAGCCCACACTACAGCAATAAGGCACAATAAACTTGGTTCAAACTAATCAACCGCTGGAGATGGTCAAGCATAATATGGAAAAGCTCCATTTAATTGATCTACATGAGATCGATATATTTTTTCATGAAATGATATTAAACAAAGAATTAAGATAACTATTACGTCTCATTGAACACCGTTGAATGAGATCAAATTAAGAACCTCTATAGGATTACGTCACCTTTCTGTGACTAGGTTAGAATTCCGTTGTCTGTATTTCTAAATTTTAGTCAATTTCATACATTGCACGAATACCATAACGTGCTATATCTATAGCTAAGCATTCATTGCTTATCCTCACTCACAGATCATGACTTCCTATCGAGAATTCATCTCACAGCAAGTTTATTTAACTTAATAGCTGAAGGAATAAGTAAACAAGAAGCTTCTGGTTATGTATACATAGGTATGTATGTGTAAGAGCACAAAGCTTTCTAAGTGTTAGCAACCATACTA